TTTTTAATCCGAACATGATTTTGAGATAGATATGCATCACTGTACCCGTAAATCTTGCCATCTACCACGGAAAGTTTCAGAAGGCTAACACTGTCACAAACCACAGCAGCTCAGTACTTGCCTCACTGAGATATTGGTGGCCTTTGTAAAGCAGGCACTGTGAACAGCAGTCGCCTATCAGGCTGTGATCTAAAAAGGGACTTTAATCTCCGCAATGTTAATCATTATGACTTTCTACTGTTTTTTAAACAAGGCCACTGTGAGTGTACAGAGGTGACAGGAGCATTGCAATACCTCCTGGCCAACAGCAGAGAGAGCTCACAGAAGGAGAAAGTGGATCACAGGGTGATAGACCATCACCACCCACTGCAGGGGGATGAGGGCAGGACACATATTCCTCCAAAATACCTCCTGTGGGTCACTGTTAGAGACATGGTATGAGATAAAGTAGTGCAGGAACTGAATAAAAATGGCAGGGACAGCTCTATAACAGCCTTTAGGTACTTAGTTTCTTTTGGGACTTAATGCACAATAGCTAACTTGAGCTGTAATATCATGCATGGAGAGTAATGAATGTGCCTCCAAGAGGGATTCACAGTAGCTTTAACCTCCCTGAGCCATATGCATCTCAATCCAAGGCCTGAACAGGCACCATCCTTCATAATGCCCTGGAGTCATCTCTTGAGGGAGTGAAAAAAATAAGTGGATGCAACTGCTTTTCTTCAAAGAGGTACCCACAAGGTGGCTGATGTCCTGCTCCCACTGCAACAGCTACCAGGCATGGAAAAAGCACAATTTTGCTCTCTTTTGCTATTTGTGCTGCTTGAATCCCTATCTTTCATCTCACAGAAGGATGTCATAACCATCAGGCAACAGGCTATTCTGGGATGAGGAATGAAGGGCATTTGGACTGTCTCATGGAAGCTGTTCTTCACGGGGGTTATCCAAACACTCACCAACAGAGGAAGGAAGTGTGAAAAAGAGAGACTGTCTCACACCTAGTGTTTAGGGTATGCTCTGGTTTTTCAGGCAATTTTTTGATGAACTGCTTGGACAGCTATGAACCTGCTTAACAGGGCACAGAGATATATAGATTTATAGATCCCTGCAGAATTAGGTTTGAAATAGGAGCTTAACTGCTCCCCATTGGGACTGATACTGGAAATACCCCGAAAGAGAACACTGGGCACACAGGCTCCCCTTATGTCAAAAAAACAAGGGGACCTACAGCATTAACCACCTCTAAGACTAAAAACTCTTCCAGGATTGCAACTTTTTGCAATCTACTTTTGTCTTGCAACACAGAGTTCTTTATTTTTCTGCCAGCTCTAATCCTCTTGCCTGTGGATTTACTTTGACCCAGGTGTTAGTCAGTTCTACCCAGAGTTTGCAAGGCTGACCAGCTGATTGCATTCTGTCAGCCCTGACTCTCCCCGGGACAAGGTGATCACCCTGTGGTTTGTCCCAGTTACCCACACACGAAGTGTGAAATGGTGCCTTTCCGGACTCCTTCTTTGTAACTGTGTGGGACTGTGCATTTTAAAAAGGGATTTCTAATTTGTCTCAAGATACCTCAAATTAATGGCTGTGCTTGAAAACCTAATTAGTGAGCGCAAATGTTGTTTCAGCCTTAGCTAGAGTGTGAAGATGGATCATGATCTTCATATAAGCCCACGAATGACAAACCCTCAAGGTTACTTTTGGGGTGACTGTTTCACTGCATGGGTGCCAGGATTGGGACCACCACAACTTTGGGGCAAGTCACCAGCTCTTGAGAGTGGGGCACAGTGGGGTGCAGTACCTATCCAATGCCTGCACAAAATTAGTAACAGTCCAGTCTCACTGTGTTTAGACTTGCTGAAGTCCCGATTGTGTTTCGAGGGCCGGCAGCTGTGGCTGGCAGGCACGTACTGTCCACCAGTACCATAGGAATTGTTGCTAAGCGGCCACCTGGGACTGCGGTCCCAGCCCATGTCACGTTCAAGGGATGTCGGATTTATCCCCCTTTGCTGCCAACCATTGGTGTCCACCCAGCCATTCCCAATTACAGGAACTGTCTACAAAGGCTGCAAGGGTGGGGGGTACGGGCGATTCTCCTTGGCGAAGAAAAGCCAAGAAAATCAAGTTTGTTTAGTGAAATGCATTGTCTTTTTCCTTAATGGGGTTGGAGTTTCATTTCCTTTAGTTATATCCCACTGGGTGAGGTTAAAATGGCTCTTAGGGGAAATAGTCTGACAGAGATGCTGAAACAATATGTTGTCACCGCCCAGGTCAGAACCAGAGAATAATAGGTTATTTTTACTGTATCACTTAGTGGGGATGGTATCCGAGATCTAAGTCCATCTGATTCCCCCAAGGAAATATATTGTAAGAAAATGCCCTTACAACCACATAGTCCAAAAGGAATGATCCAAGCCTGAGGCATATGTCTGCCTCCCAGAGACACACGTCTGCCTTCCAGGAGCCACATCTGTCTGGGAGAGTACCCCCTCCAGGAAGCTTTGGATGGCCCCAGGAAGCTCTGGCTTCATGTGATGAACTTAACATGGATGAATAAAAAGCAGCAGTCCAGCCTGCTATTTACAGTGTGCCACCAGGCTAAGCCCAGCCACACTACAAGAGCCTGATCCAAAAGCAAGGGGAGAAAGCATCCAGACTGAGCCAGGCCCAGAATCTGCTCTCCTACACTGGTACAAACTCTCATTAACTGAGGATGGAGTCATCAATTTTCAAATTGATTCTGGTAAAACATGGAAACATAGAACAAGGGAGCAAGCATGGGAGCTTCATGCTTCTCAAGCACCTGCTCACTGGTGCTGCCAGGAGCACCTCAAGGGCTTCTCTCCTGCAGGAGAATCACGCGCCTGTGCCTCGCACAGATTTCATTAGGTGAGACACCCTTCAATAACACAAGCTCTGTTGCTGCTCCCCGTGACTGATCAGTCTTTGGTGCACAGCTGAAAATACCAAAAGACCAGCCATAAATGGAGAGCTTTTGCAGCCAATCTGGCTTGGGCCATCCCCTGGGCTAGAGCTATCGGATCTTCACACGTACAGCCTGCACCTCAGATAACCCATACCCTTTAAAAAATACTGGCATTGAAACGTAATCCTTCATAACATGCAAAAAAATTAGTGGTAAGGGAAGGGGGAGGCACTGGACAGAGGGGTCAGATGGTGAGTGATGCAGATGGGGGAAGGCCACCAGCAGGGCCAGGACCTGATGGTTGTCAGAACAGACACAACTCACATTACTGCTGATCCACTGACTTTTTTTGACAGACAACTCATGGATTACACATCTGAAAATACACTGTGTTCAGTTTCTGCTTTGGGATTACACTAATGATCTGCTCCAAGCTTCTTATAGCTGGAGACAAGTGACCAACGCAGGGTAACACCTTTCAGGAGAAGCCTTGAGGACAAATCCATGGTGGATGCTACCTAATTTAATAGTCTCTCAAAATCAAGTCTTCCAAACAATGGTTTTCCAAATGCTAAAAGAAAAGGGAAAATCAAAGTCTTCCTGTACACACAGATATGCGTT